GTAGTGATACTGCCTCGGAAACCCAAGGAGGGGTCACTATGAGTCAGGTGTGACTCAACGGTACACAACAACACAACAAATATATATATATATATATATATATATATATATCCATTTATCTTATATTTATCTCATATCTATATAGATAGATTAGGTATAGATAATAGATATTAATAGATATAAGATATAGATATAGATACATTTATCTTAACTTTCCTTTTGCAGAATATTTATTGTTTATGTGATCTTCTTCATATCTGTGCTTACCTGTAGCCACACTTTCCTTCAGAAAATAGCATATACATCAGCTTGTTAATCATAGTGAAGAACATCATTTATCTTAACATTTCCTAAATTCATTTGACCCTAAAAAAAGACTGTTTTAAATTTGACACCTATTAACACACTTTGAAAAATGCATATAATGCAGATATAGAAATTTGAAAAATGTATTTCAAGTTATATGTATCAAATGTATTTCAAATGTATTACCACTCTTTTTTTTTATTTTAGGAACTAAACTATTTCAGAATTCATGACCTAAAGTTATTATTTTGAAAGATATGAATTATCATTTGTTTACTGGGTCTTTATATATTAAACATGTTGAGGACTGAGGATATTTCAACTCTGTATTTTCAATAAGGAAATGTGGTCCTGGAGTTGTGTGTTTAATTATTATTTTCTAATCAATACTATTATTTGGGCAATGTCTTTGAAATACCAACCCTAGTGCTTTCACAAAGCACTATGAGAATGTAAATGTCCATTCAGAGGTCAGCAGAGATATATCTCATTCATAATATAGCAGTACCCTCTAGTGCTCATGCTTGGTCATGTGCTCATCTCCAAAACTGCCTTAGAGGGGTGAATGCAATGTATTGGATCCTTTTATTTGGTCTTGGCTTTAAGACAGATATTCTATTATTCATAACATCACCTTTTTGAAAAGGAGTTAGGCATTTCCAATAATATTCAAAAATATTACCTGCACCCCTGTTGTAGCCATTTTGTTCATAAAAGTAAGTGAAATATATGAAAACCAAGAACTAAAAAGTAGTACAACTTCTTACATAGAAAAGAAAGTAGAACCTAAATCTTCTGTCACAAGTCTATTGTTATCAAGACAATAGAGTTTTGCAATTTCTTGAAGTAAGCTTCTCTTTTTAAGTGCCAAAGGTATTTATATATTGGTTTCAGTAGAAAGCAAAGGGTGATTCAGTTCATAAAATTCAGTTCTATGCCAAATGATTCATAGTAAGCATTTGATTCAAAAAAGTTTAAGTGATGGAGCTCTGGTAGCATAGTGCCTAAAACACTTGACTGCTAACCAGAAGGCTGGAGGTTCAAACCCACCAGCCACTCCTCAGAAGGAAGGTTGGAAAATCTACTTCCGAAGTGATACTGCCTTGGAAACCCAAGGAGGGGTCATTATGAGTTGGGTCCGACTCGACGGCACCCAGCAACAACAACATAATCTCATGTCCAAAATTTGAATTTTTAAAACACTTAATACGCTTTCTAGAAGAATAGTACTTGATTTTTTTGGAAAATATTTTGAATGCTGGTTGATGAGACAGCATGCTTATTAGCCAAAATATTGCAAAGGGAGTTGTGCTATCCTGGAGTTTGATTTACCATGCTTAAACATTTTTTTGCTCAGAAGCAAAAGATGTGTTAGCCAAATTACACATGAACAAGAGGGCCTGGTTTTATTTGCTATTTATTTATTTCAGATTGGTTTCCAAGGCATTGGTTTTCCAAAGCATTATCACTAATATGCAGATCATAGCTCTTTGTGACTCTAAATACTTAGCCATTTGTTATTGCAGTTGCTGTAGACTTACTTTAATAAGGTGTCAACACCAAAAAGTAGGTCCACATGTGAGAATAATTCTAATTTCTGCATATACTTCTGAATAGGGATCTTAGGTGACTTGAATGTACTATTAATAAATGCTTTTGGTGTCCACATTTAGTTGTTACAGGGGAGGTCAACACCCAAACCTGACAAGTGGGAACTTCTCCAGATGGGCAGTGGTGGTGGCATGGTTGAACAAGTCAGCGGGGATTGTGATGATGAAGACGGCTGTGGGGGATCAGGAAGTGGAGAAGCCAAGAGGACACTAAAAATCACAGACTGTAAGTTTGTGATTCTAATACTATTTTTAAAGAGTTGATTTTAAAATAAAATTAAGGATAATTTTTATCATGGTGTAAAAAAAATAATAGCAATGAATTCAGAAGTAGCCAAGAAGAATTGGAAATTGTCAATGATTTACTTTTAGATTTTCAAGATGTGCATTGTTGTGGTTTTTGTTTAATTTTAACTAATGGCTTTGAAGGGAAATGTCACTTTTCACTGTGAAAAATTATGAGTTCCTAAATTCTGAGATGATAGTCTATGAATGACAAAGACTATAAAGAGGAATAATTCTTAGGGCATGAGAATATCTAGTACAGTGAATATTATATGTATATTGGTAGATAATGTGCAGTCATGATGGATAAGTCCTACTAAGTAATTTGTTCTGCATTTTTTAATATTATGTCATTATTTAAAGGAGATTTTACTTTACAAAGTCTCATCATAGTCAAATTAAGGATGAATTGGTTAAATATATGTTTAATCATGGTGGAAAACTATGCTTGAATTTATCTTAAGAGTCTACTTTGCAAATAATTTCACCTATCATTCATGTTGATTTGATTGTACGGTTTTGAAATATTTATCTGGTATTGCTCACTACCTCAGAAGACAGAAAGGCCAAATGACAACAACAAAAACATCACAAAATGGATTTTCTTTCCTTGTCTTTACATACAAGATAAGAATGCAGGTTGTCAAACCTCCAATGTCCTGTGCATATATTTATTTTCATGGGAAAGGGAAAAAAAGCCATCAACTGAGAAAGAAGTGTGAGAATTAGCAATGTACGCAGAGCAGCTGGCTTTAAACTTCTGATTTAACCCAGCTGTTCAGAAGTTAAGAAGCTCTGGTGGTGTAGTGGTTAAGGTATTTGGCTGTTAACCAAAAGGTTAGTGGTTCAAACCTACCAGCTGTTCATTGGACAAAAGATGAGGCAGTCTGCTTCCCTAAAAATCTACAGCCTTAGAAACCCATTGGGGTCACTATGATTCAGAATTGATTCAGTGGCAGTGAGTTTGTTTTTTAGGTTTGTTCAAAGGTTAAAATGATCTTCTGGAACTCTGGTGGACCTATTAGTAGGGTGGTCCAATAATCTTCCTCTCAGTCACACAAGGCTCCTTTGGACCTGCTTGATGTGCCATTTATGAGTTGGTGGAAGAAGAATTCATTTACTTTTCAGCTGTCTTGTGGTGAATGAAAATCACTACAAACTGATGCTTCAAGCATTAGTTCCATTTTTAGGATCTAGTTTGACAAGCTAAATTATTAATTAAAGGAATGGAAGCAAAAGGAGATGACAAAATTATCATAATAAAGTACATTTTCCTTTTAGATATAGCAATAACTTTTATTCTTCATAAAAGGTAAATAGATGGGAGTTAACTTCTGGAGCAGCACTTGAACAAAGAGCTATGGAAACCATTGCTATAATAAAGCAATCTCCTCATGCAAATAACCAGAAGGCAGGTGGTTCAAACCCACCAGGTACTCCTTGGAAGAAAGGTTGGCAATCTGCTTCTGTAGTGATACCACCTCAGAAACCCACGGAGGAGTAGCTAGGAGTTGGGTTTGACTTCAAAGCAGCAAGTTTGGTTCAGTTTGTGAGTTTTGTAGGAGATTAAAAAATATGTATTCCTGTTCTTGGTATTAATTTAGCTTATTATATTGGATTCTTTTTTTTCCCCCTTCTTGGTTTTATTAGCAAAGAAATAAGGAAAATTGTTTTCATTAGAAATAAATATTTTTCCTTGCAGTTCAAATATCCTCCATTACATTTAAGAGTTATGATACTTATCTATTAGGATGATGTTCAGTTATGGTTATCCTATCTTGGATATTTATATGTACTATCATTTGATTGTCATTTGATTATTATCAGAGTTTTATAGATAACATTATTAATTTAAGTCTGTATCATTAATAGATATAGGACAAAAACAAATAACAGGTAGAAATTTCATCTATCATATAGCATAAGTGTGTTTGTGTGTGTGTAGAATTAGAATTTTTATAGGGATTTTTTTTTCACTTCCTGAAGTTATTTATAACCTCATGCACTTCTCGTAGTAATAGATAACTTTTTTTTTGGTTTGCTTCACAAGAAGTAGAGACTATGGAGGATATTCAACTACTAATAGTTTTCTCACAAAACCATACTTGTCAAGGTAGCAAGAATGAATTTTTACTTCAAAACTCTGTTTTCAATTACTTCTGAAATGGATAGGTATGGAATAGGCAACTATCAATCAGAATTGGGGAGATTTAAGGTACAGATGGTTTTCAGAAAAACATTTAAAAAAAAATCCACATCTGTTATAAGTGGGTTGCCTATTATGTTTCTAACAGTTTATAGCTGTTGCTTTTCAATTTTTAATAAGTGGTAAAGAAACTATTGTGGACAGCATGCTGAAATAAAGAAGGACAAGAAAAGTAGCAAAGGGTAGGTTACATTTCTATTTTTATAAAGCACTATGATATTTTGCCTGTCTTTGGCTAATTTGAGATATATGTAAAGCAAGCTATGATATCATTTTAGATGGTCTTAATGTTTTAAAAATATTATGCTCTAGAAAGGTTACCAGGTGTCATTTCTGTTAATAAACTGAAAGGCACTATTATTCCTTTATAAAATATAATACAAATAACATATAGTTCATTTGTCACTATAAAAACATCTAATTAAAAAGATATATGTAGATATACATAGAGATATATTAATATACATTTGTATCTATATGATATGTAGCTAATGTATACAATACTGTGTCCTGTAAATTTAATGATTCTCCTCAATTTAGGCCACTGTGCAAAGTAGATAAATGTTTTACTAATGATCAGATCACTTGAACTGCTTTTCTCTTTCTGTACTTACTTATTCCAGGCAACAGACAGGTCTACTTCAAAGTATACAGTTTTACCATCAAAATACTTAAGACCTTCCTGGATGTTTTTTAAATTCACCAATAGTGTCAGACAATTGACCAAAATTTTAACTCTTTTTGTTTGTTTTTTTCATGACATTGACTGCAATTCCCCACAATGTAACAGCTATCGTTCCACTTCCTCCTTGTAGTTACCCCTTCCCTGTGTCCTTTCTTATACATTTCTGCCCCCTGAGCTATCTCCCTGTGCAAATACTGCCTTTCTGTTCTCCTATGATTGATTGTTCTAAGGAGTATGTTACCTGATTTAAATGTTCATCCTATATGCTTGTCTATTATTTGGCTGGAAGCTATGGGAGTGATTTCAATTCAAGACCTAAAGGTTAACAATTTTAGCTTTTTAAAATGCCTCTATTTGTATCATACCTGTAGACAACTATTAAACGTTAACTCATTTGTTCTTTATAAAGTCTAGCCATGCATATGTACCACTTATTGTTCACTCTTAGGAAACCAAAATATCTTCTTCTTCCAGCAGGATGACTTAAAAATCCAATATTATGGATACTTATTCTATATTCTTAGTGTATTGAACTCAGCTCATTTACATAGCTATGGTTATCTCATGAGTAACCTGGAATTTCAGGGTTAGAATTGCTCTGAACCTGTGCTTTGCCTCCACCCCCACCCCACCCCACATATGACATCTGCCATCCTTTCCAAGTAGCCAGGCAATGGAGGTTCTAGATACCAGTAACTAAAACAAGTTCTGTTCTTTTGGATATGCAAAACCCACTGCCACTAGTGGTAATCCCACTACCACTAAGCACTTAAAGTATTTGACTGCTCTTCTTATGTCCCCAAATTTTGGTAGTTTCAAATGTTGTAAACAAACCAGAGTGTTCCTAAAGACAGGCTGGAAGAGAACTATACCTCATATAGATTTGAAAATCTGCAGTGGTATTGCTTGCAATTCTTATGTGATATTGTAATTTATACTGGCAATAACTGTCACACTCTGTTTAGAATTAAGAATATACACCCAGTGAACAAATTCACTTTGATAACATGGTTTGTAGTAATAGTCTCAGGCAAAATTAATTTGATCATGAGTTGCTTCAGATACCAGACTTTCAACAAATACTAGGGTGATTTTAAACCCTGAAATTGCTTGAGATAATTAATTTCTGTCTATTGTCATATGCATCATTGCTCATACAATATTTTGTAGCATGTTTAACAGCTGTTATGGATTGAATTATGTCCCCAAAAAATATGTGTTGTAAATCCTAACCCTATGCCTGTGGTTATAACTCCATTGGGAATGAGTAGTCTTTATTATGTTAATGAGGCAGGATTAGTGTAGGGTGTATCTTGAGTGAAACTATTTTGAGATATAAAAAGAGATTAAACAAGCAAGCAGAGAGAGAAAGATGGGGTAAGATAGATGCCAAATACATGGAGATTTCCAAGGAACCAGGAAGCAGAGGCTGAAGCAACAAGGACCTTCCTCCAGAGCTGAGAGAGGATGTCTTCCCCTGAAGCTGGTGCTCTGAATTTGGACTTCTATCCTCCTAAACAGTGAGAAAATAAATTTCTGTTTGTTAAAGCCACCCACATGTGGTATAGCAACACTAGATAACTAAGACAGCAGCTTTTAACATAATTTTACTTTAACTGAAAAATCCATAAATAGTAAGCACGATAGTGATTGGTGCGTGTTTAAATGGTATTTCCCCATTGGTGCTCTCTACAAGGTACTGAGTGAGAAGTTATGGGTGAGGTCATAAAGAATGGTGCATTTGGAGAAACCATGCAGTGTTTTAATCCCTCAGCGCTTCTGAACTGCCCTTTATTAAGCCAATGAAAGACTTTCTTTAGGGAAGTGCTGCTTAACATTAGGTTCTTACCTCATGAGCTGCTCTTTCTCTTCTTCTTTAGGAGCTATTTCTCATCATTCCAAATTCTAAATGTTTGAACATCCTAAGGTTCAATTCTTAGATCTTTAATCATCTCTATTCACAACCATTCCCAGTCCCACAAACTGCTTCTCTCTGTCCAGACCCACTGTTGTCTAGTCAATTCCAGCACACAGAGACCTTTGTTGTTGTTGTTGTTATGTGCCGTCAAGTCAACGCCAACTCATAGC